TCTTTTCCATCTCCTACCCTAGGTAATAAAACATGATAGTTATGGACTTCAAAATCAATTGTAATGATTATTCTTAGATGGACGGCTACAGATAAGACAGTAAATTTCACTACGGTGTTTCTGATAATTAAGGAGTTTAAATATTTACATCTTTGAATCTGTTCTTTGTAGCAATTATTCCTTGACCTAAGTTTAAAAGGGAGCTCTTGACCTTAAGTTCATTCCAAAGTAACACTTTTGTACAAAAGTTTGCTCTGCATTTTCCAATGGAGACTGTACTTACTTGCACAGATAAAGAGTTTAATGACTTGCTTTTGAATAACATTTGACTTCTTAAGGTTTCATTTCCACAAGTATGTGGCCCTCAAATACCTGTATCTCTTTGCAGAGGGACACCTCTGGGGCTTTTTATCTTAGAGGGCTTTCCTTCCTTCTTTCCTTCCTTCCTTCCTTCCTTCCTTCCTTCCTTCCTTCCTTCCTTCCTTCCTTCCTTCCTTCCTTCTTTCCTTCCTTCCTTCCTTCCTGATGTGATAGCCGTTTCAGGCCTTGCTGCACTAATAAGGCAGGCCTTGGTATCATGGTTTCTAAGTTGGTCTTGGTAACCAGACACAAATTGATGCTGAGCCTTTCCAGGGCTCTGCACAACTCCATCTCCCTTATTAAACTGTCTCTGGTTAGTAAGGCTGAATTATAACTGGGGTGCTCCTGTTGGAACATGACTGCAGTTCCTCTTGGAAACCCAAGGACTGCAAGTTGAACATAGTGCAATACATTGAGAGGGAAAGGGCAGTTAAAGATTCAACTTCTCTAGTGGCCAGAATCTGGAGTTCAGAAGGTTGGATTTGCAGGATCACTGCGCCCTCTGGTGGGCACATAGGTAGCTATGGGGATTTCATAATGTTTTTTTCTTTCTTTTTTACATACATGACAATAGTGGAGTGCGTTACATTCATAATTATCCATTCACAGCACAATTTTTTTTGTAGCTCAGTATACAAAGTATGTTCATACCAAATTATGCCATTATACATGAGCTCTCTCATTTTTTTTGCATACAATTCTTAATACACCTTTATACCACCATTTATCATATCTCTGTTTGTATATAAGGTATGTTGATAACCTGAACAGACACTTCTCAGAAGAGGATATACAATCAATCAACAGATATACGAAAAAATGCTCATCATCTCTAACAATCAGAGAAATGCAAATCAAAACTATTCTAAGATACCATCTCACCCCAGTAAGAATGGCAGCCATTATGAAGACAAACAACAACAAGTGTTGGTGAGGATGCGGGGGGAAAAGGTACACTCATACACTGTTGGTGGGACTGCAAATTAGTGCAGCCAATTTGGAAAGCAGTATGGAGATTCCTTGGAAAGCTGGGAATGGAACCACCATTTGACCCAGCTATTCCTCTTCTCGGACTATACGCAAAGGACCTAAAAACAGCATACTACAGGGACACAGCTACATCAATGTTTATAGAAGCACAGTTCACAGTAGCTAAACTGTAGAGCCAACCTAGATGCCCTTCAGTGGATGGATGGATAAAAAAAATGTGGCATTTATACACAATGGAATTTTACTCAGCACTAAAAAAAGAATAAGGTCATGGCATTTGCAGGGAAATGGATGGCATTAGAGAAGATTATGCTAAGTGAAGTTAGCCAATCAGCCCCCAAAACAAATGCCAAATGTTTTCTCTGATATAAGGGGTGGGGGTGACTCAAAGTGGGGTAGGGAGGGAGAACATGGGAGGAAAATTACCTACCTCATCATTGCTTTTTAAGAGTACATTCCCTTTCTTATAATTTGTCATCAAATTTGAACAATTTCTTTTTTTTTTCATTTTGAATCACTAACCAGCTGAATAACTTGTGAGACACTGTCCACAAGTTGGAGGATATTCATACTCAAACTTTCTCTGTTCACATGAAGTGGACAACCAAATTCTGATTGAAGGTCAGTAGAAAGCTAGAAGCTAGAAGGTCTGTAGAAAGCTGGAAGGTTTTCTATGTCATAGTCACGGAACACTCTTAAGATTCAGCCCCCCAAAATCTGCCTTTGCCCCTGTGAACCCTGCAGTTGGAGTATGCAGAAGCTGGGCCTGGCAATGTTGGGGGGCGGGGAAAGGAAACAGAATTAGTAAGACATCCTCTAGGGAGAAGCGTAGTCCCTGAGTCTTGGAGAGCTTGTGTCCGTATTATCAATGTGTGTGTGTGTGTGTGTGTGTGTGTGTGTGTGTGTGTGTGTGTTAGGTGGGGGGTGGGGCAGAAAAGGGAGATTATATCAGTCAGTTTGGGTCATTATTAAGGAAATATCTGAGATAGGCTACTAATGAAGAAAATAGGCTTCTTTTAGCTCAGTTTTGGAGATTCAAATGCAAGGTGCCTCCAAGGGCTCAGTTCTGGTGAGGGTGACAGTTCYGATGAGTGGCACATTATGAAAGACTAGTTTATCAAAGCAAAAGGTCAAATCTCAAGCCAGAAAGTCAAAAGAGACTACAGGTCCCACAATCCTCTGTGTTGACACCTCCCCCCCTTACAGTCCTAAGCACTCTCCATTAATCCCCCTGACCAGAAGTCCACAGCCTCCCCCAATCACTGCASTAGGGACCAAGCCCCAATACTGCTGCCCTAGGAACACTTTGAGGGAAATACATTCAAATAGTATAAGTGTGTCTTCCTGTCTGTTGTCTGTCTGCCTTCCTTCCTTCCTTTCTATTATTAGGAACCAATAGAATTTCTATAATTATATAATTTTGGGGGGGAGRGGGAAACCAGGGATTAAACCCAGGGGTGCTTAACCACTGAACCACATCCCAAGCCCCTTTTTAAAATATATTTATATTTTATTTAGAGAAAGGGTCTTCTTTCTGATTTGCTTAGGGCCTCAATAAGTTGCTGAGGCTGGCTTTGAACTCATGATCCTCCTGCCTCAGCCTCCTGAGCCACTGGGATTACAGCTGTGCACCACCATGACTTATCTTGGTTTATTGCTTCTTAAATACAACATGATCCAAATAATTCCTTGAGTAATCAACGGAGAGAATTCCATTGCCCACATCCWGCAAAGCAGGTGTGGAGGATGTGTAGAGAGGTGTGGGGACATAGCAGGGTGGGAAGGATGGCACAGTTAAAGGGAAACCACAGAGAGATGGCAAGAGGACTCCTGAGCCACTGACACTCGMTAGAAGGCAGGTGGCAACAGGGAAAGGTTGGTGGGACACGGGCCAGCACTCCTTCTGCCATCCCAGACGTGTTTGTGGAGGACAGCTTAGTACATGCCAACCCAGTGTGGCCTCTCACCCAGGGACTCAGACTACTGAGTCTGTAGGGGAGGCCTTGGGAWTGAGGGATTTATGGACATAGGGTTTAAAGGAGAAAGTGTGCTATCTAGGAACTAGATATTTACAATTATATTTGAAAAGTCAAACACATTTGGATTGAAGCAGTTGATTTGATTTAATGTTCCCAGATATGACATATACATAGAATTTATTTCAACATATAAATTAAATGGACTCTGCTCACACGCTGCTTTAAAATTTAACAGAGGTATAAAAGTGCCATCTAGTGGGGGAAATGGAGAAATGAATTGAAAATATTAGCTGATTTGTCTTTTTTCCCCGTCCTGTACAATACAACATAATGTGGTTATAATGGAAATAATAATACCTGATTTTACATGGTTTGCTGCTGTTTTGTGTTCCTCAGGAAAACCTTCTTTTTATCCTAATTTTGAGCTTTCCCCAAGTACCTGTCTTCCTGTCTCATCTCATAAAACCTGGTGAGTCCTTCTAATTTCAGTTTAGCATTATATATTGGGTGTAAGTTTTTTATTTTGTTCTTCATGCTAAGTAGACAGTAAACTTCATGAAACTAGGAACAAATCATTTACTCACCCTATATCCCCAAAKCTCAGGTTGATACTATCACGTAATTGTGTTCAATAAATATGTTTCATATTGGATGAATTGTTGAGCTATTAACACAGATCAAAGCAGTTCAAATTCTAGGTTATTGAACCATACCAGAATAGTAACCAGGTAAATATTTACAGGAAAGAGAAAACCCCAGTATTCAGAATACAGGGAACCGTATAGAGATGCTAAACTTGCTACTATCACCATCGATTTGCTCCCAATTGTCTTTCCCTGTAGTATGTATGCATTTTATATTAATTTCCACCCACGACTGCTTTGCCTCGGGGAAGGAGGTTGGCTGGCTTCCCTTCTCTCCATCAGTCTCCTGCTCCCCAAATGCTGCAATGAAATGTAGAAACTACAAATAGTTTTCCAGGAAAGTACATCACTAACATTTGTCCATTAAGGTTTCTCTTCCAGGTAAATTGCTATTCCCAGTCTTCTCCTATAGAGAAATTCTGGAGTCTTTGTTCACATTCACGTTTAGTTTGTGCCTACCCAATCTGATTTGAAAAAAATATATATGTATTAAACATTGGAAAGAAAAGAATTTCTGACCATTCTAAAATCTTGTCAGTGAATTCAATCTAATTCTTTATTGAAGAAATGTGTTGGTGTAGGCAGAGTATAGACAATTGCAAATTAATGGGGACAGTTCTTATTTCCATTTCTTCCAGTTACCACTTTCATTTAATGAATCTTTTTTTTCTGTGGTGGTTTCTTTTAGCAGTTCTACCTGATTCCTTGGTGCCAGTACTTGATCCTTTTCTGCTARTATCTGCCATATTTTATTCTTCAAAAATTTCTTTGACTGAGTGAAAGTGTGATCAGAAAGCAAGAAGCTAGGTGCTGAAAACAATTGTGATTACCCAAGAATGGGAGTTTTGAAAATGACAGTGTGTTTTCCTCGGGTTATTTTCTTACAAATACCACACCCTTTGGGCTTGTGACTGTGGAGGAGACTTGGGAACATGGTGTCTTCTTCAGGGGTAACAACATCCTCTTCCCTCTTCCAGGGAGCAATCTGGCWTGCCGTTCAGGGGACAAAAGGCACCTGGAGACTCCTTCATGTKGCTTGAGTTTTCTCCAAAATCCAGTCTAKGTACTTGGCCACGTTGGTGTAAATGCCTGGCCGTTCCCTCTGAGCACAGCCTTCCCCCCAGCTTGTGATGCCCACCAAATGCCAGACCTCATTGTGCTTGCAGGACAGGGGCCCCCCTGAGTCTCCCTAGGGAAAGGGGAGAAACACAAAAATGTCCTGGTCACTACCCATCTTAAATAAATTTTTGTTCAGAGGGATTTTGCCTAAAATTCTGTCCTGGCCCTTCATAAACTTCAAAAAACCCCATTGCTCAATGCATCCCRGTTGTCTCATTTAGCTTTCAGTGAAAGTAGCTCAAATCCAGCATCTCCTGCTCAATGGCTGAAGACTACTTTTTAGAAATGTGTCAGACATTCTGATTTGAAGACGTTCCGAGGGTGGAGAAGACCCTCTTACCTTGCAAGCATCCTTCCCTCCTTCTTGATAGCCTGCACAAATCATCTTATTGGTTATTTTATGCCCTCTGTATCTTGTCTGGCATTCTTCGTTGGACACCAAAGGGATCTTGGCTTTCTGAAGAGTGTTTTGTATTTTGTCTGAAAAAAATTGTTTTTATATCTTTAGTGGAATAAACATATATACTGTCTATATATACAGATATGTATATAACATATACATATATATACCATATATATGCATATATACTAAATATATATATATATACCAAATATACATATGTATGATATATACACACATATAATAAATACATATATACTACATATAACAAATATATCCATATGTACAATATGTAAATGCAGTATGTATGTGTATATATATATATATATGTGTGTGTGTGTATATATGTATATGTATATATGCACACACGGATGTTAAAAATGAATATCTTTTGCGAAAATTCTAGAAAGAAAAAAATTATTAGGTTTACTTCATAGAAATTTTATAATTGCAGAGTACAAAGAAGAACATTATTCYTATTATTGGGTGTATATTTTGTTAATTTAATTAAATTTAAAAATTAATTACAATTCTAAGTAGAATTACTTCCCAGAGAAAATAATTGGATAATAAGCTAGGACATCTACTGAAAAGTGCTAAGTTTCCCACTAAACATCATTAAAAATAGTCTATAAAGAGGTTTAATCACACTTAAAGTTCCTAATCAAACAGACAGGATATCATCGTTACTTGGGTATTTTTTCTTTCCAATTTTTTTAATATACTTTCTGTAATTGAATAGTTATTTGACTTGCATTTTAACTATGATGTGGTGGAGTAGAAAAGTTTGTGCTTAAACTATTGTTTTTATTTTTAGGATGCGGTATATCTTAGAACATCATTTTTTACCTCTTAGTTTTCTGTACCCCCATCCAGTCACCCAGCAGTCAGTATATATTACATTTCTATCTCCTTTGGAAGGTAGGCATATGGGCCGTTGAGAGTCTAAATTTTAAAAATCATAGTTTTAGTTATCAGAAATAATATATATTTTGCTTCCCAGAAGAGACTCTCTTGTCTCACTTTATATTGTATTCTTTATTTATTATTTATATTATTTTCTTTATTTATTATTATTCGGTGTTACATATTATAATCCTAAAAGGAAGACACTAGGCTAAATCATTCTTAATATTCCAATATATTATAAAATTATGTCGTCCCATGTACTGAAATAAAGCTTGAAGAAGACTTACTTTTTCACMCAAATTCTCAAAATATGATTGAATAACCAGAAAAGTGTGTCAGTCTTAATAGGGTGAAAGACTAGCTTTCTAGACCTTCTCCCTGGAGAGTCTCTTTGGTAAGGTCAAGCCGTGGATCTTGTAAAGTTAAACATTTTATCTAGGTCGCCTTGGTTGACAACTTCCCACTTAAAATGCTACATACCTGTGTAGTTTATGGTTGTTTCCAGTTTCAACAAAGCAATATCATATCCACTTTCTGCCATTTCATACTGATCATGAATTATTATTTCTTGAACCCCAAAGAAAGAACTACCCTCTTTTATTTCCGATTGATTTACAATGCCACTATAGACACGCAGAATTTTAGGTGACTCTATACTGAGGAGAAAACAATAAAGGAAGAAAAATTTCCTTCACTAAATCATTTCCAAACATTCTGAGCTGCATATCTTTTTTTTTTTTTTAATTTTCTGTGGTGCTGGGGATTGAACCGAGGGCTTTGTGCATGCAAGACAAGCACTCTAGTATCTGAGCTATATCCCCAGCTCTCTCRGCTGCTATTTAACTAGCTAGTATTACTAATATTTTCTGCCAAGAGTATAGCTTTTTAARTCAAAAGAAGTGATTTCATCCCCAAAATTTCAATCACATATTCCCCATACAAAGAAAGTACTGAACTAGCATTTAACTAAACACAAAATGAAGCCTCTTTCCAGTCTCCATCATGTTACGTGCACACAAGACCCATGAAGAGTCCTGGGTATTACTTTCATCCTGGCCATTGCCCAGCTATGACTCTGAGATATTCATGTGGACTGTCTGTACTCCATTTCCCCATATGTAAAAAGTGAAGAGGAGGGGAGCTGGGGCTGTGGCTCAGTGGTAGTGCACTTGCCTGGCATGTGTGATTCTCAGCACCGAGTGTAAATAAATAAAATAAAGGTCTATCAGCAACCAAAAAAATATTTTTTTAAAAAAGTGAAGAGGACTAMTGACCTCTTGAGTTATGAGTATGCTACATACTGATAAGAAAACAATAACTAAAGCAAATCCATAAAACTGTCTGAAGACAACTCAGGGGATACTGAAGCAGCTAAGAGGAGGTTTGATAACTTAAATTCCCTGGGTTACATGCATTCATATAGTCCCCCAGATGCAGTTTTTATATCTGGCCAATGTTGAAAGTGACCCAGGGAATCCAATTTGAGAATGCATAATGAAGCCTTTCTGGACTGGAGGTGGGGGAGGGGGGTGTGTTTGCATTTACACTGGAAATGAACCKTCATGTTTTGGCACCCATTCTGATGCTGGTAGACCATGAATGGTTCTTCCTTTTTGCGTATTTTTTTTCCTGCTAAAGTTTAAAAAGGGTAAAAAATTCATRTCACATATAGGATAGGATAATTTACATTTTAAGTATTTGTTAATATGCTAGTGGCTTGAGGATAGCCAACTAATAAAAATAGCGCTATACTGACCCATAAAAACAATGTGCAGCTGTTAATATCCACTGGTTTCCAATGATGGAGCCTCCACAGAGGTGTCTCTGGATAGGTRACATGACGTGTAGTGTTACCTGCCATGGCCACTCGCCTTGAACTGACGCAGTTCCTCCAACAATTCTGGGTTTGATTTTGGTTGTGCACTCTACAACAGAAAGATTGTAGTAAATAGTTTCTTGTATCTGCATTTTCCATCAGTGGCTATGCTCCATGAGGAACAAAAGGAAGAAAAGTTTCCTTCAGTTCAAGAGTTTACCATGACCCTGAGCGGAATAGACTTCATCATTAAGTTGACAAAGCAAAACATGCACATGAAAGTGGAATGGCCAAATCATCTTGTAATTACATGCTCCCAAAATTGCTGCTGTTCTCATCTGATACCACAAAGTAGTCTCACTGATGGTTCTTTTCATGCAGTGTTGGCCAAGTGTGGTCTGCAGACCAATAGCATCACCTTGGAACTTGTTAAAAATGTTCATTCTTGAGCCCCACCTCACATCAGAAACTCTGTGAAGATGGTCTATTCGATAATTTTGTGGGTGTAAARTTGCCTTTCTAGATTTTTTTTTCTCTTATGGGAAAATGAGTGTAAAATTCTGGGGTAAATGTCAAACTGAAGGAAGGAATAAGAAAAGAAACTTTGTGGACAGCAGCCAACAGCAAGCTGAGAATGAGCATGATGGGGTTTTGTATGTCTGAAAAGACACTTTCATTTAAGAGTGGTTAGGGTGAAAATTAGTTTTGGGGGACCATTTTGAAGATTTTAACTATATCCTGGATTTTTTTGGAAGCCTTTATAATTTCCAAGCTGGAAAGTGGCATAAATGCAAAGTTTAGGAAAATTAATAGATAAGCGATAACTAAGATATGTGATAAATAACTCAATCAAAAGCTTATCAGGTATAGGACRTAGATCTTGATTTTCATTCTATTTTATTTCTCAGTTTAAAGAAAATTCTAAAAATTTGATTTTCACCATTATACTTGGTATCAAGAAGTGCTTCCGTTAAGCATTGTTAGGTATCTTCCAATAACAAACTATATTATGGATCAATGACAGGACATGATAAAAAGCTCAGATTTTCTCTTTTATATTAGGGTGTTATTTCACCTAATACAGTGCAATAAAAACTAGTTACTAAATTCAGAAGGTGCTGCACTAAAAATGTGTAAGATTTTATTTGTGGTATTTTCTCCTGAGTTATCAACCTATACCTGATATAGTCTATAACTTCCATGGTCAGAGTCTATAAATTCAACAGAGAAGAAAGTGAAATAGGAGGGGTAGGAATAGAATCTGCAAGTAAAGTAAATGTCTATCGAAGTAAATGTTGGGTTCAATTTTTAAACTATAGCAGCCTCACTTAACGAAGTTTGCTATGTGCCGCTTCCAATGATAGGAAGTTGAATTAAGAAAAAAMAGAATTATTTTGAGTGATCCTTTTAAGGTAAGTTTATTGTGAGGAAAATAGAGAAAATATGAGATAACAGTTTAATTGACTTGCTTTCTAAAGAGTCATAGGCCACCCAAAGATTCTCCTCTGAACCTCTCTGAACTATATATAGTAAGGCATAGTTTGCTAGTTTGGATATTGATACTGGATACATGGTAACATTTGTATATGCTACAGAACAAGTTCTCAAGAGTTAAGTATTGARTCACTTTCTCAGTATAGTGCATAATCTGACACAAAAGATTTTTATACTTCTAAACTATTACAAGATGTGAATATCATTTCCATTTTATTTAATAAATCTCAGTTTCATCTTATAGTTCATTAAAATTTTAGACACTAAACAAAACAGTCTAACAGGATGTTATGATAATATAGGAAGAAGTATTTGTGGGACCTTCTTTCCAATGGGATTCTGTCCCTTAGAACAATTCTATTTGCCAACAAACCATCTCTTGCTACTGTCCTCAGAAATTAGCTGCTAGGATTGAAACAGTACTGAGCTGATTTTTATTATTATTTATGTAATTATAAGCTTTGTATAAACTGGATGATCTTTTTATTTCCAACCAACCACACTCATCATTATAAATTAAAAAGTTTTTTTTAATATATCTTTGCCAGTATTCTTAAGTCTGCAGAACTTTGCAGGGAAATCTGAAAGAATGATAGTCTCTGAAAGACAAGTTACTTCAGTATTTCTTGGATAAATGCATAATTTTTAAGACTTGCTGGTTACTTATGCTTCACTGAAGAYCTTTAGTGAGAGGAAAGTGAATAATTTGATTTACCAAGGTATGATCGATATTTCAATCATCAAGAATAAGAAGAAAGATCCTTGGCCCTGAGAACAAGAGTCAGTTCTACAAGTGTTGCCTGAGTCTGTGTCTCATCATAAAGTGCTGGTCATATAAATGCTCTGAATTTAAACACATGTTCAATTCGTACTAGGCAGTGTCAAATTTAGTCAAATCATTTTATACCGTTAAAACGTGGTTAGCTTATGTAAAAGAAAAAAAATTGCTAGATTTATCATTTTACCCCATTTCTTCTCTCTGTGGCTATTATTGACTACGTTAGTCATGCTGCATTCAGTGTAGAACAACTCCTTCTGATATATTTTTTCAAGTGATGTTCCACTCACCATTATCCATTTTACATAACCTTAGTGTATATCCAGAGATGCCTCCTCTCCCGTGAAGTATTTTAGTCGGAGAGCCATTGGAAGAAAGTTTTAAGTAACATTTGCCCCTATAATTGGAAACAAAATAGTATAAACATAATGCCCTTCACAAAGAGGTGGGATRGGTGTATCTATGGACTTGACCCTTTGTCTTACTTCTTTTCATGGCATGATTCTTGAGGTGGGGAGTAGGTGAAAAACTGGCAGCGGATGACATCAGTACACATTTTCTGGCAGGCTTCACGACCTTTCACATCAACAATGTCCAGTTCTTCTCCCAAGAAGTCAGTGTCATGGTAAAATGAGGAATGACAGAAGACTAGATAACAAATCACATATCGGATATGAGACACAGAACCACACATCCATCTCCTCGAGAATGGTTGATCTCAACAGGAAGAAAGTATGCTCATGGTTCACCTGGGATGCTATGCCTGCAGGTTTGTAGACTGAAACCAGAGAGAGCTTTGCTCTTCTTGATGCGTGTACTTGGTAATCCACTTTCGGATGTTTTAAGGAGACAGAGATTTCTGATATGAAAAAGGGAGATATCAATATATCACATAACACACATCAGAGGAAAAGAACTTTTTTACAGCATATCTTGAAAGTAAGGACAGTTCACATTGGCATGAAAAGTGAAAATGTTCCTATTTTGAAAGTCTCTTTCATGGATTGTGAGTCACAGTCCATGACTCAGATGTTATAGACAAAAATCTCAAAACTAAGCCATTGGGAGTTCTAAAAACTTTCGGATCTTGCTCTACTGTCAGTATTCCTAGTATCTTCCTTCTTTATTTCCTTCCTTTCAACACTCCTAGTCTATCTTGAAGCATCWAGAATTTTCATGCTACCTAGAAGTCTCCTGTCCAGGGTTGGTCCAGCTTAGAAGTGGATGAGTGACATACTTTGTTGACTCTGCACTCTGGCAGCATCTTCCTTGAAGGGAGTGCCTTTTCCTAGGCAGCACAAAATCCCTCTTCAGCAGAGTTGTCCAACAGAACCTTCTTGAATTCTCTATGCCATGCAATGCAGAAGCCACAAGCTACGTGTGGCTTTCCACCATTTGAAATGTGACTAGTACAGTTGAGGGATTAAATTTTTAACTTTATTTAAATTAACTGATTAAGTTAATCAATTAAAATTTAAATAGTCAAATCTTGCCTTGTGGTCACCAGGTGCCTATCAACCCTCTATTAAGAATTAAATGTATTGCTCCTTTCAATAGATATTGATTGGTAACTTTATAAAAGAAATAAATAGGACAAAGGAAAAGAGAAGCAATTACAATAAAATGACAGTCATCTTCCTAATTTCTGAATTTTCTGAGGCTCTAAGTCTCTATCTTTGGACATCCTTTCTTCTCTGTCTGCATTCAATCATTTGATGCTCTCATCTATGAGATGGTCTCCATTATCATCTATATTCTGGGAATTCCCTAACAGGGATCTAGAGCATAAACCTCCCTTCTGAATCTGATTTCCATTTCCAATTGCCTATCCAATATTTTTCCCTAGATGTCTAATAGGTGTCTCTTCCCCCACCTCTGCCTTTCATGAAATCTTCTACACCTCAGCTACTAGTATTTCCATCCTTCTGAATCCTTGGGCCCCAAATATTGGACTTTTTCTTTCCTTCACAGACTACATCCAATCCATCAGCAACCCTTATTGGCTCTAGATGAAAGTATGTCCCAATCTGAACACTACTCTATCATCTCCATCCTGGTCCAAGAAGTTAAGGTTTGTGTTCATTAGGCGGTATACCTAGAAAAATGTCTGATATATAATAGGCACCAAATAAATTGTGTTAAATTTGTTTAGCAAATGAAATTAACAGATACATGTTTCTGTGATAGATCCTGAAATTGCAATCTCACCCAACAGGAAACGAGGCTTACCGAATGAGCAAAGGACTCCAGAGCTTACCTGGCTGGAATGTTCTCCTCAACAGTGGGCAACCAGGTCAAGCAAATGCCAAAGGCTCTGAGCGTTCTAGTTCAGCTATATAGCATCTAGGTTTGATGCTGACTAAAATATTGTYTTTAAAATTAAATTACTTCTTTTTTAAAGTGAATCTTGTTAGTGAAGAGTAACAGCCCCAGCCAAGTATTCCTTTGAAGTTGGAAGAAATTTCCTCTCCTTTTTATGTGGTCCCTTGTTAACTTTCATCAGTAGAGAAACAGGGTTTCCATTCTTGAATCTTTCTCTGCCACCACCCCAATACTCTTTTATTTTTCCCAATACTCTTGATGTAGGCTTTTATCCCTTCCCTACATTGATCCCATCTTTCACTGACATTTCTGCTCCTGGTTCAGTTATTTCAAATGATGTTGGACTCAATTGCCTCTTAACAGTCATGATCATTATCTTCATTCTGTCGACAATTATAAACCCTCCCTCTGCTACAGGTAGAGACCTCCCAAACTGAAGATTAAGAAAAGTCCTTGGCAACATTGGATCTGCAGTCAGTAGGTRCAGAATAAGAAGGGAGAGGAGCTAGGCATTTTTTGCAATTTTAATCCAATATAGACATTTACATTAATTTTTTTTTAGTTACTCAGAATGTTTAATGACAGATTTTGATCCACTGTTTTAAAAAGAAAAATGACCCTTAATTGTAACTCCTTACCTTTGAGATTCTTTCGGCCATTCTTGGGAAAAGAAGGTAAAAAACAGACAACTGGGATGATGAGTACAAATGCGTTGGCAGACAAAGGCATCTGGAGCCAAAACACTGTCGATGTTGTTGTCTGCAAACACCGTACTAGGGAAGATGTCCCTAATACAAGCTAGATGACAGGAGAATCTGTGTTAGGAAGTCAATATGCCAGCGGAATAGTGAAAATTCCAGTCATGGTATTTGTAAATTCCACATTCAAATATTTAAATTTACCCCAAGATTTTTTTGAATTTAGAGAAAATATGAAGTGACTACTTTAAACTTGAAGTTTAAACATAAACTCTATATAGGATGTAACAAATTTTTTCACTCCAAAATGTCAAAAGATCACTGATCCATTTCATCAATGAGTGTAGAGAGGTATCTAAAGTTAGCCTCATTGCACATATCATCAGCTTTGTTCCAACCAATGGTTCAACCACCTCATTAAGAAAACAGTAGTTACCCAGGTTAGAAAGCGCACAGGATTTCAATGAAAATCCAGATGCCACATAGCGGAGCTTCGTTATTTTGGTTGGTGTCCCTGTTTGGGTGTACTTCAGCAAACAAATATTACTGAATAAAGATAAAAATGGAAAAATATTTTATTCTTCCAACTGCAAGTGGGAAAAAGCATGAGATGATAGAAAGGAAACGACCATTTGGAGAGAGGACTTAAGCATGAAGTAAAGGAATTAACCCCAAAGAACATCCTCTGAGACTGGCAGCTGACTTGAATCTTAGCACCACCATAAAGCCCTCAGTGATGCTGTGAATTTTGCAAACTTTTATTTCCTCATCAGTAAAATGACAGCTTGAGAGAAGTGATGAATAGATGAGTAGATTTTTTTATTTACTTATTTTTCTCTATAGGGTTAAACTATACCATCTTTTTGGATGGGAAGAGAATTAGCAATCAGATCAATTGTAACTGTTTCAAAATTGCCAATTTAAATATGGAGCACTTTTGAAATTATCTAGGATATGGGTATACACACATATTTTATAAAAATGTCATTAAAAGACAGAATATCATAAATTAAACTCATGCAAATTGGGCGGCTTTAAATGAACTGTCATGACAAAAGCAGTTAATGCTATTCTGTGAATGTCTTTTAGGAGTTAATAAATTTTAGCCTCAGATTGATGAACATTTTTTTTGACGAGTCAGCAGTTTGTTTTTCACTGGGTGTCTTCATTCCCTCAGGTCAGCTTTTAGCTCACTCACCGATGCTCTGTGCTGGGAAAATCCTTTCCTGCGTATGTGAAAAAGTGACAGTGGATGTCATTTGTGCATCTCTCTTGGCATTCTCGAACATTCTTGGCAATAGAGCCATTATAGTTCATTCCTTTCATGTCCAGGTCCATGTAAACATCTCTGTGGCAAGCTGGAAATCACAAGTGGGAAATATGGGAAGCCTCCATCCAGATCCCAGGGACAATGGTAAAATTTCTAACTTCTCAACAGTCCCTTCTGACTTGAACTTTTAACCTCTTCACCCAGTTTTCCTCAGAAGTCCTTTGTTTTTATTTTAATGTGCTTAATCCCTACTTTACATGAAAATATCTAGGACTACTAAAGTTCTTTTCATAGTGCAGCAATTTTAGACTTGTTAATTTGCATCTTGATTTTCTGACCTAGGCTCTCCTAAACTCAATCACTCTGTTTCAATAATCAACCTATTCAAGTATCTGGGAATTTTTTTATTATCATTATTAAGACAAGTGTCAATTCAATCTTCCTATTTGTACCCTTTGATTTGAATTAGCATATATAATAAAGACTTTCCATGRAGCTTTTAGGCTGGAAAGGTGAAAGAACATAAGTGAATGAAGAAAACTGAGTCCTTTTATGAGGAAAAAAATTCTAATAAACTGTAGTGTTGCTTTGGGGTGGGGAGGCATATATGTGTGTTTTTACACTGAAAGAACTTCAATAGAGGAATTTATTCCCACATAGCAGATWTTTTTTGTTTTATAGCCATAAAACCATATCTGATATAATTATATGCATTGTCATAATAGCTAGTGTTGATCAGTTCCAACAAGACTTACCACTTAATTGGTGTGGGCATTGCTTGAAAGAATATCCAGAAATCGCTCCTGTCATATTCACCCTTGGCAGTATTTCTGTGACGCTGTCTTTTAGGACACAGGTAAACCTGTTTTTTTTAGAAATAGCATTAGCAGGTGGAAATATGTTTTTTAAAATAACAGGTCTTAAAATCACACCGAAAGCCAAAGAGGAGGAAACCAACATCTCTTGCCAAAACAAATATTTAGTCCAAACAAATATTTTCTGAGCAAGACTGTGACTCTGTTTTTCATTTCAACATTGCTACATTTAAAAGACCACATATGATATTCCTTAACAAGTAACAAACAGGAGTGGGTGAACTATGGCCTGTTGCTAAAATACTGCCGAAAATCTGCCTGTTTTTGTAATACCCAAGAGCTAAGAACGGTTTTCATCTTTTTAAATGATTACAAGTTAAATAGTGATACAAGTACTTAMATGATGTCCCTGATTTTGCCTTTGGACATGGAAAGACTAAGCATTTACTCTCTGCCTTTTTAATAAAATGCTTGCTGATCTCTGCTCTAGATTTCTGTAAGCTTTGTAAGTTCAGGATACTATATAAATATCTGTGGATGCAGCATTATACACAAAGATGTTGGAAACTTAAATTTGCAGAAAGCCTTAATTACTGAATTTTTGAGTTCACCTTGTTAACAAAAGTGCTGGGTGAAATGTTAGAAGATTTAAAAAYACAGCCAGAGTGTTTTATAAAACAACCAACTGCAATTTGTAATTTTGATGAGATTCTAGTTAATTGCTGTAAATTACATTTGGTGGACAAGTGAGATGATATAAAATTATTCTTAAGTTTTTTTTTTCCTTTGGGTAGGATAATGTATTTTTTAAAATTTTTTTAAACATTTTTTTAGAAGTTTTTGGACATATTACCTTTATTTTCTTTATTTTTATGTGGTACTGAGGATTGAACCCAGGGCCTCGCACATGCTAGCCAAGCGCTCTACTGCTGAGCCACAATCCCAGCCCCAAATAATGTGCATTAAAGTGCTTAGAGATGAAATGTCATGATTTCTTAAAATTACTTGAAATGTTTAGACATATGTACATATATAGGTGGGTAAAGTGAGTCTTGGTGGCTGGGGATTATTGCATTATTTAAAAAAAAATCATCTTTATCAATGTTTAATTTTTCTAATAAAATAGTTGGAAGAAACTTCTCACTTAAATAGTATCAATTAATAGAAAAGCAGAAAGATGAAGATGGATAAAAGTCAAGCAAAAGGGAAAAAAATGCACCCTTAATATTGAGACTCTAAGGGATTGGAAAAGCCACACAGAAGCATTAATRTTCCCCCCTAATCTGCCTAAATAGCATTTTTCTGTCATATTTAATATTTCAACTGAAGGTCAATTGATTTTCAGGTTGTTAACTGTACATTATCTGAAATGATAGATGGAAACTTATTAGTAGGTAACTGGCCTGTGAATCTAGTTCCTCTGTGTGAAAACATCAGTGTTTACCATTGGGTAGGATCTTCAGCTGATGATTCAGCCATAAACGTGAAGAGCAAACATCTTGGGTGGTGGGTGCAGACCACTTGGCAGTACTTGGCACTCGGTGTAAACACAGTAGCAATGTCCCCTCCTTGAAAGTAGGAATCTTTGAACAGCCTTGTCACACATCCTGAGAGGTAACACATGGCACAAGTTACCATGGATTTTCCTGGGCATGTGTCTAGTTAGATAATAATCTGACAGAGGCAAGGCAAACAGGTCTAYTTAACAGAAGGTGGGCCTGAACTTGGATATCAAAGCAAACAACATTTTCATGTCAGTTTCTTGAATGAGTGGCCTTAGATGGGGGAAAAGAAATCACAAAATGGCACCTTTGCCTGAATGACATCTCACTATTGAAAAGCTACATTGTGTAAAATTTAAATTCTTTTTCCTGTTATAAGAGATCTAACATCCCACATTTGATTCTTAGTCATTGGGGTTGTAGTTTTTAATCTTGCCATATTCCTAGTGAGAGGTACTGCTATGTACCCTTTTTTTTCCCTAATGTTAAAAAATCACAAGCAGGGGCTGGGGATGTGGCTCAAGCAGTAACTCGCTCACCTGGCATGTGCGGGGTGCTGGGTTCAATCCTTAGCACCACATAAAAATAAAATAAAGATGTTTTGCCCACCAAAAACTAAAAAATAAATATTAAAAAATTCTCTCTCTCTCTCTCTAAAAAAAAAAAGACTTAAAAAAACTAAAAAAACAAACAAAAAATCTTAAAAAAAATCACACACAACCCAAATGGAAATATTCACGCAGAATAAAATATAACAACCATTATGATGTAAATATCTAGGGAAAAAAAGGTGGATATAAAGCAGTTAAAACTATTACAAGAGGCTTATAGGAATCAGTCTATGAACTTGGTGAGGGAAAATTTTATCTTTGTTTTTACTAACATCTAACTGGAACGTGGCCTTCTATTATAAATGTAAGCAACAAACTACATTAGTATTCATGGTATTGGTGACTTTTTCATAATAACAATCAGATTTTTTAAAAGTACTGAAGTTGTAGACATTTCAGATTGCATCTTGTTACATAAAACAGTGATAAGAACCACATCCATTTCTCATATCACATTTTTTTACAATTAAAATAATTATATTTCCATGTAATGGATTTTCTCAATAATCCTACCCATTTTTAGTTTATGTGTTTGGAAATATTTACTCCAAGAATGGAATCTACAGTGTTCACTGAACCATCATAGAGATCTATGGGAGTGAAGGAGATCAAGGTCCCTGTCACAGACCTAGCATACAATTATCCACACATAACCTCCAAATATAGCATGATCCCCCACCCAAATGGCAAGTATTTCAAGAATGACTTGGAAATGTATTGCCTTTCCCCAAGTTCTTTGTTCATTCCAACCCATCTGTATGGTAGCCTCCCAAGAACTGAGGATCTGTTCTCACCTCAAAGTACCATGCTTYTGGTACAAAGCAATTGTTCTACATTAAAATATTACTTGAATAAGAATATTAATTACTTAGTAAATTTAGTAGGCTTTAAAACAATAAATGTGGTCATTTTCTTAGGCTATATCTCCTACTAATTGGATCATTTAACTTCAAAGGCAGACTGATTTTTAAAATCCAAACATGATGTTTAGTTCCACTAAAAATCAATGAGTTTTTGTTTGTTGGTTTGAGTATTGAATTTGCATTCAGATTTCTTTTTAAATTTAACTATAATCATTTATGTGGTATTGTTTTGGAATTTTCTAGGTACACAATCAAATTATCTCTGAACAGAGTTAATTTTCTTTTGATCTTTTACTTTTTATTTCTTCTTCTTTCCTTACTGTGCTGACTGGGTTCTCCAGAACCATGTTTAAGGTAAGTGACAGCAGGTAATATTGTCTTATCCCAAGTCCTTTAGGAAAGTTTTCAGTATTTCAACATTAACTTTTTTAAACATTTAGGATTTTTTCCAGCTACATTTTTGTTACCTTTTTAGTAGTTAGCTCAGTTCCTCTGTAACTGAATAACATGCTCTGTATAATGTTCATGCTCTGTATAATGTTCACACTTTGAAATTTGTTGAGACTTATTTTAAGGTCTTGCATGTAGTTGGCAAAAGTTTAACAATAGTTAGAAATTAAATGCAATATGCCTAAGTAATTTTTTAAAGGAATGCTTATGTTTTCATAAGAATAAAGAATAAACATGGGGTCTAAAAGTACTTATATTAATATGTTCTACTGAATATTGGTTAAGTAATTTATAAACAAATTTAGTGGATGAAACATAGGGTGGAGAATTAACATCAATATATTATTGAAATGCATAAATTATGTAYGCATATTTGTATGACATTTTTCAGTCCAAAGTCACTATTCAGTGTCTGTATTATTGAACTGACTGACTGCTTATGGAAAACTGAAATATCAATGAGGCAAATCAAGACTTCTGCTTTTTTAATGCTTTTATTCATTATCATTTATATGTGTTAAGTAGGTAGATGGAGATRTATGAAGATAAAAATATAATATAGATACAGCTATAGATATAGATTTCTACTGTTATTCTTCACCTGCTTTGAAAACTCCTGGAGGTTTAAGTGAAGGATAAATAAAACAATTTATTTTGTTTCCTGGARTAAATAGCATGGGATTTATTTACATGTATGCAGCTCAAATTGCAATTTTCTCTCTTAGACTTAAGTTTCCTTGTTTCCCACTCTACAGACCAATAAATTAAGCTATTTCCAGTCCATTCTTAAAGATTTACTTACCACCAGAAACAGAGGCAAATAAAATGAAATGTACCATTTGGCATAATAAGATCATCCTACAAAGAGAAAAATGTGCACGTTTTTAGAACATGAAAAGTATATTTATGCCATTTATGTCTTGGCACATGCTTATRATCCCAGCAACTCAAGAGGCTGAGGTAGAAGAATTGCAAGTTCAAGGTCCTAAGCAACTAATGAGACCCTGTCTCAATATGAAAAAAATTAAAAGGGCTGGGGATGTAACTCAGATGGTAAAAAAAACCTCTATTTTCAATTCCCAATACCAATAAATAAATAAATGAATAAATAATAAGATCTYTCTTTTATATATATGTATGTATGCATACATATAATTATATACATGTTATATTATATATGTATATATATTTATRTAATTATTTTACTGACATCAGAATTTATAAGAAACAGGAAGTGAAGGGAGTAGTAAATTAAATAGAGTTCACAGGGATCCTATCATGATTCTGAATTTTATCTTTTCAAAATTTCAGAATGTCCTCATCAGGGTGGGTGTGTAGCATTCCACACCTTGTCACAGCCCTGTAGAAGCCCAAACTAACAGGGCAGGTTCTCTCCCTTGCCTTTCTTCCKGCCCTCTCTCCGCCTCCAGCTCACTATTAATCAGATGCTCTGACCATCTGCTCTCCTCACCCCGAATTTTCAACTTTACTTTCTCTTCCAGTTCATGTCCTTTCTTTCCATATTTGAGGTCTCTTTCTATATCTCTTAAAGGTCTCTGAGCAATTTCTTACTTATAACATTTTCTATTTAAAAAAATTCAGGGCAAATGAAGACATTAGCAGATTGACTTAGTTATCTACAGATGCACTTACCCCCACTAAGCACTGATAGCATTGTTCTGTGAAAAATGAACTGGCCTAAGAGATAAGTCAGTCCTTCTGATCCTTCAAGGTTGCTCTAGAATGTCTTTTTAATTTGCAAAATACTTTATTTTTGAATATAAACTCTCACTCTTCTTTCATTATGCTTCCCTCAAATTTATTATACATATATTAAGTAAAAATGTGAAAACAAACACATATTAAAAATCTATCATTCTCTATTGCAAATATWTTAAAACCCCCATTTCAGGAAAAATAAAACATTTCAAGGCATAATTGCTTAAGAGAAATGTTAAGTAATAATTTTTGAAATCATACCTGAAAATACCTTGTTTGCTTATTTGCTGCAATTCTCAATAAGGGTGTTTTTCTTCTTCCAAAGGGGTCTTTATTCTTTCCTAAATAAGCATGTGTAGGTATGCTCACTCAAATATTTATTTTTCCTGGTTTTTAACGTTAAGTAACCTTTCATACAGCATATCCAGGAAAGTCTTTAAAAACTCTGTGTATCAGAAATGTACCTTAAGAGAGTAACTAGCTTTTTCAATACACTAAACTTATTTAGGATCTTTTTATTGTATACTCGACAAGTGACACACACAGAGACAGCTAGAGAACTTGAATTTGCTTTAGCAGCTGAGCAAACTCACATCTAGAATGCCTGCTAGCCGAAGCTGCACTTAGCCACACTGGTCATTATTAACTGTTAACCATTAATTCCAGCCAAAGTTCAATCCCAGAATCTACTAAGAAAACACAGAAAGTCTGATGGACTGATTGATTTGCAGTGTATGAAGAAAGGAGACCAGCTGTTGTGGGCTAGGCCTGGGTAGAAAGTAAAGTCCTGATCTAAAGATTTAGTTTTCCTTTAGGATAACATCACTTTTTGGAAGCCTATGCAGATAGGATTAGTTCTAAGAATTCAAATTCTTTATTATCTCATTTATGAACACTGTCTAAAAATTTTCTTAAGAAGAAAATATAAAAGTCTCATAGTTTTTTTTGGGGGGGGGTGGGGGAGGTATATTGATATTGAGACGCAAATGGAGAACTAGGAATGATGTGACAAGCAATAATAAAACAATACCTCAATTCCTTGAAGGACAAGGAGCCTGTTACAGCAGGGGTGGGGTGGGGTGGAGAGCTTCCAGAAGTGGTGGCTTGCTGCCACCTATGGAAAAGAAAGCTGACAAGTATTTTTTTGAGCTTCCCACCCTGTGTTTCGGTTATGACCCTTCTTATGGAGCTTGAAGGAGGGCTGAGAGCTCTGTGGACATCGTGATAATCCAGTCCTCTATTACCCAGACCTATTTGTTAGTTTACTGGTCATGTCACTTGAGCAAACACCAGGTAGCTACACTGTAAACCAGCTACCTGTGGGTCCTGGGCCATGCTGCTTTATTTCTCTGGGACTCAGTCCCCATTAGACACTCACTAGCCCTTCTGTTGTGATGATCCAACAAAAAAGGTGGGGAGGGGCAATATGCCCCATTTAAGTGCATTTTAGAGAAAGCTAAATTTTATGGTTCAGAGAAAGTTCCCAATTTTCCATAGGAAAGCTAAAAAGATCTTGAGATTTTACAAATGGAATCATAATTTTCAGAAATGTTCTGGAGACCARGACAGAAATGAATATATGAGTTTGTCCCCATTAGAGATCATGCCGAAGTGATGTGTACCAAAGGGAACACTGGACTTTGTTCAGGGACTGTGAGTGTGATCTGGTGAACCTAGACAATGTCACCAGTTGACTCTAAGCATTTCAATATTTGAGGACACAGAGAGGCAATCTCATTTCCCGTATATCATAGCAATGCTGCCCTGGACTTTCTGAATAGTTTCTGCAGGTTGACAGTTGACAATGTCACCAGTTGACTCTAAGCATTTCAGTATTTGAGGGCATAGAGAGGCAATCTCATTTCCCGTATATCATAGCAATGCTGCCCTGGACTTTCTRAATAGTTTCTGCAGGTCAGGCTACCCAAGCCCTCGAGGCCAAAGACTAAGTGGAAAGATGGTCCAAGATGGGGAAATACTGCCCGACCCTTTCGCAAAGTCCTACAGAATGGGAAATATAGGGGCAAAAAAGAACTCTTTCACAAAGTCCTACAGAATGGGAAATTTAGGGGCAAAAAAGAACTTACTAGAAGACAATGAGAAAATAGGCAGCAAAGTAAAGGTATGTTTGAAACTTAGCTATAAATTGATGGGAGCATTTTTGAAAGGAAGAGAAAAGACAGCCTTTGTTCCTTTGGACAGAAAGGTACAAGGGAGARGCTGTTGAACTTAGGTCTTTAAAAGAAGTACTCATGTCGTCCTGGTTTTTTTKTKKTKKTKKTKKTKTTTTTKGGKTTTTTTTGTATGTAAAGGCTACTCCTCTGTTTTTATTTGATCTATTGCCAATGCATTGTAACCCATGTTGGCATAAAAAGTCCTTAGTTATTATCTTGAGTTTCCCACTTAAAATGAAGTACATTCCAGCTACACAAAAGGCTCATACAGATAAAGTCTGGCATTTTATGAGACTCAAACAGAATGGCAAACTTATGCTAGGGAAGGTTATCGTGGCCATGATATGTAAGATTATAGACCTTTCCTCCTATATGGTTTCTCCCATAAACCTCCATTTTTTTCCCCTAAAGTCCTATAAAAAGAAGATAATAATAATTCTCTAATCCTATTAAGATAATCAAAGATTTTAAATGTGAGAAATGCTTCACTGGAAAACCAGATACGATTCTCCTAAATTTGATTTAGCTAGTTAATGAAATCTCTAAAGCCTTTGAAGTAGCATAAGAACTCTGAAATATTGTTCTCTATTCAAATCAAAGTATAATAAGATTCTTAACTGCATGAAATTTTTTTAAAAATAGAACTTTCTCTCAAACTGACAGTAGGAATTCTAAAAATTCTTCTCAGTGAATGCATTGCAGCTTAAAATTCTGATAAACTACTTTTATTRTAAAGGTGATTATTTTTTTCTATGAAATATTTTTAAGCCCAACCAAACTCAGAAATTACTAGGCAAAAAATCACAAGAAAAAATTCAAAATTTAGTCAAAAGAGATTCAAGTGTAAATCGTAGGTTAGGAACATAGGTGAGAGATGTGCTGGGCATATTGTGACCTAAAATCCTGTCTCCTGGTGGAGTCCTCTTCTCACTCATAGCCACAACCCACTTCTTCTTGGAGTGCCTATACTCTCTCTCATCAAAACTCCCTTTGGAAAGGGCATGGCCTACCATGCCCTGCACTTCCATCTTGATGCTGTCCCTGAAATTCCCCCTTTTTATTATCAAGGGTTTTTTAAATCTTTTTTTWAAATATTTTTTTAGTTGTCAATGGACYTTTATTTTATTTATTGTTGCATGCTGCTGGGAATCAAACCCAGTGCCTCACACATGCTAGGCAAGCACTCTGCCACTGAGCCACAACCCCAACCCTATTATCAAGTTTTGATACTCAACTTTGATCAGGGTTGCAGCAATGCAGGAATTATTGATATTGGGTCCAGATTGTCCTTTGTTGTGGGGGCTGTCCTGGGCATTGCAGCATATCCATCAGCATCCCTGGCCTCTACCTGCTATAGTTGGTTACACCCCCTCCACCAGTTGTAACAACCAAAATGTCAGTATTGTCAGATCATCCCTGGTTGAGAACAATGGTCTTGGATAATAATAACTGATGATGGTCATAAAATGGTTCTGCCTTCTTTTATCCTTCTTTTAGTATGAGATCACATGATATAGTCTTAGAAGGCATCATCTGGGGATATGAATGCTAAGCTTAGTCCTTGACAGTGACCTTGAGCTAATCTTTTTACCTCTTTAAGCCTCCATTGACTCAGCTTTATAATAAGAATGGATTTATTAGCTATTTACCTTAGCACGTCCTCTCATATTCGGTAGAATGAGAGAAAGCCTCCTTTGAAGTTGCTCACAGTTTGGTGGAGAAGTTAGACATTAATGATAATTACAAGAAAAAGTTTCAAGTTTAATCAGAGACAGATGTTGGAGTCATTGGTTGGTTACCCTCCTGTGAGATGGTATGTGCAGCACTGTRTATTCCATGTGCATTTTGTTGGCACAGGGCAAGAGCAGTGCTAGTTTTCAGGGTTGGCTCTGCCACCACCCTTTCTTGGATGGAACTGCTAAAGACCCACGCCTCTACCCTCACTGTTCCTTGTGAGGGTGACATCATCCCAACCTCTCACTTCTTAGCCTCTTACATGCTTCTGGGTCCCATGAGGCTCTTAACTSTCTGAAGGGCTCCTCTGTTAACCATGAACATATGGTGAAAGCCAAAGAGAACATCCCAGTACCAAGAGACTTCAATTGGAAACCTTAAAATGATCATTTATGACTTAGGAAAGTCCCACATTTCAAAATTCTCAAGGTTTTTTTAAATCTTTTTTAAAATATTTTTTTTAGTTGTTAATGGACCTTTATTTTATTTATTGTTGCATGCTGCTGGGAATCAAACCCTTGCCCAAACAAGGCCATTCCTTGAGCAACCAAAGCCCAGGCGTTTACCTTGTAGACACTCCAAAGTCCTATTTAAACCCTTTGTAATTATCAATACAAAAAAAAAAACAGAGATAAAAGATTTTATTGCAAACATTTTCTTCCCTTTTAAATATAAACAACTTCCAMGCAGAACAAGACTAATACCTTTATTGCAATCAAAAGTAAAAGTTGAAATTATAATACGTTTTAAAAATCAATTCATGCAATCTAGCCAGGTTTTACAAAAACCATTTTGCTTCTGGACTAAATTCTTGACCCTTCATTTTCCCATTGCATGGTCTGTGGATAACCTGGACCTCATGACTTTCTTTCAGCCTCTCCATCTGTAGCTCTTTCTACCAGTCAATGTGTCTTTGAGTATGGAAAAAGGAAAAAGTCAATCACTTTTAGAAAACTGCACTTTTCTATTTTTCTACCTAGCTTACATAATCTTTTATAAATGGTCAATTCTGTGTAAATGTTAACCAGCTTAACTCAAATGAATCAAGGTACCTCCAATCAATTGTGGGACTTGCCAACAAGTCTGGGATTTCCATTGMATAAGGATTTATATCATTCTTTCCAAAGTCACTTATGACTACTCACGACCATGATTTTCCATGTCTGTATTCTAGGATACATGATATATCTAACAATGCTTCTTGAATTACTATTGCAGAAACTAATATTCACTGATATCCACTGCCAGGGTTAATGTTCTTTGCAAARCAGATTTCTTGGTTTCCAGGAGGGCTTTGCAGTGAGTCTATTGCAGGCTCTGCAACCAGGAAAATGCAGCCCTTCAATCCTCATCTGCATATCAACATTGGACACCTGTGGCAATGCTGGGGTCGCAGAGATAGGGGCCTGAAATGAAACCATCTTTTTATTGTCAAAGGGAATGTTACACATATCTCCTTCATCCACTGGGCAGAACAAAACTTGAGCTTCCTAGCTCTTCACCCAAAGGACAAAGGTAGCATTAGGTCCTAATGAGTCGGCAGGTGAGGCATGGACAAGTTATATCTCTGAGACATATTGAGTTCCAGGGGAAGCAGGAAGATCAGGATGATCCCAAGCRCTGTGCTTCAATCCAGAGTCATTTATTGTCAGTTCTGTTTCAAAACCAGAAGGAAACACTCTAATTGTGCTCTTTTGGTGTTCGATTTCACAACAAAATGGCAGAGTTCTTCAGTGATCTCCCATYAGGAGCTCCTGGTGACTGAATACTGAAAGCAAATCTCAGCAAGGCATTGTCCCCACAGCTGTTGTACCTCCTGTTTTTGTTGTTGTTTGTTTTATTTTTGATCCTTACGACAAGGACGCAAGGTAGACACTCCTCTCCATGTTTTTCAGGTGAGGACTCCAAGGCTTAGAACTTGACTAGATCCCAGGATGTAAAACTAGAGTTACAACCCTGGGTTCTCCTTCAAACAACCCTGGGTTCTCTTCACYGTCCAGCCTCCTTAGGCCGATGACTTCATCAAAGCACCTTTGTCGCTGTTCTGCGTCTTCTCTAAAATCCAGTCCACATACTCAGCAACTTTGGTGTAGACGCCAGGTTGTTCCTTGAGGCCACAGCCTTCCCCCCAACTGGTGATGCCCACCAACTGCCACATTCCACCCTGTTTGCAGACTAAGGGACCACCGGAGTCTCCCTGTGTCACAGAGGGTAGAAAAATAAAATGGTAGAAGGTTTCGATGGAGGCGATTCAAATAAGTTTTTGCCTTTAAAATTCTGAAGTCCCACTTCACATAGCACCTACAGCACACTCAGTTTCTGGAAGTTTCTCAGGCCCTCTTGTGTTCCTTGTTAGCGGTTGTGTGTAGTAAAAATCAGTGCAGGGTGGCATTTTTAATTTATTCCCTCACCCATTTTGAGGTTTTTAACTATAATCTAGAAATTATCTACAACCTTATCCCAAAGTCAAAGAAATCTAATGTTCTTATGTTTTAGTATTATTATRGTATATACAGTGGTTCTCTTTAAGTTTAACATGCACAGGTACAGATTGTGACATATATGAAGATGGTGGCATATGTGTCAGAAATAATATCTGATGTACATTATGTGTCTATTTGACTTGTTAAAGGGTTATAAAATCATCAGATCATTTGTCTCTAARTTTTCAAAAATCTGTCATGAAATGTGCTATTGGAAAATAGTACCTTGAAATGAATTACCTCACATAAACTGGTATTTTCCCACCCCAATGCAATACCTTACAAGCATCTTTGCCCCCTTCTTTGTAGCCAGCACAGACCATCTGATTGGTTATGACATAATCTCTGTATCTTTTCTGGCATTCTTCATTCGTTACCAAAGGAATATTTGCCTTTTGTAGAATGTTTTGGATTTTACCTACAAAGTAATCAATACATATAAATTCAGAGGAGGAAATGCAATAAATACGGAAATAAGATTAAAGTCTTAAAGCAAAGAAGGGTGGTGCATTTCTCATCAGGGCCATATTTTTGGATACAGACAGTAAATGTCCATAAGGTAGACAGAGACAGAGGACACGCAGAGAGCACCCTRTATTGGCCTTCATTTCTACATCCCATAACCCAGGCTGAGCAAGGGCTCTGTTTTCATGTTACCTGCCATCCTCTCACCTCAACAGAAGTCCCTCAGAAATTCTTTCATACATTTATTGCCTACAATACCAATCTGGGCATTCTTATATTTTAATATTTAAATATTCAAAATTATAATACAAAAATACTTCATTTGTGAAATAAATCCCAAACCTCTGACAACAGAGGAGTATTTTGTACTTTGAATACAAACACATTTTCCATGAAGTACAATTTATTTATGAATAACTTGATTTCTACCCAAGTCCATTGGATATACATTGGAAGTTTTCTTTGTGTAGTTAAAGTTACTTTCACTCTTCCTCTCTCAAGGTTCTAGTGAAAAAAATGTTAAAATTTTGAATTAGCTGAATAGAGGGATGATTCAAGAAAGAACAAGATTAGTCAGCTATCTTTCTTTTTGCAAAGAATGACACAAATATTTTTTCCTATAGTGTTATTGGGAACTTAATTTTTGGAAAGGAAGAATCTTATGTTTCTAGAAAAGTTCAAGGGCAATCGAAATACTCCTAGTATCTATGAGCAGAGGATCTTCACCTAGAGTCTATAAAAGAATCATATGGTGCATAAACTCAGAAAAAATATACATCTTTATATTTCCTAACCTCCAAGTCTAACACACCCTCCAATTATAAGTGTAGACCACACACACACAGTAGTATCAGCAGCACCATTAACTTGGTTATCAACAGGGATGACAGATGTTTAGGTGTTTCAGGAAGATAACTGAAAATATATGTGCTCCTCACTATTKCACAATTACGGCTAATATTAAAACAGCTTTGGGCTGGGGATGTGGCTCAAACATTAGCACGCTCGCCTGGCATGCATGTGACCCGGGTTCAATCCTCAGCACCACATACAAACAAAGATGTTATGTCTGCCAAAAATTTAAAAATAAATATTAAAAATTCTCTCTCTATATCTCTCTCTCTCTTTAAAAAAATAAAGCAGCTTTTATTTAATACACCAATTAAAAAGCACATACATCACTATCACATCTTTTGATGTAGTTTGATAATTGTATTGMAATATAATTGGCTTTCTTTCTAGTTGTGTGTGACTTATTATTTAAACATGACTAGTGAGGCAGCTCATAGGCATCACCAGATTGCAGGAAGAATGCATGGAAAAAAAATACTAAGAATTGGTTATAAAGAAAGGCTGTTATTTTGGCCTGTGCTACTGGCCAAAATATCAAGGGAGAACATAATAGGAGAGTCAGGAACACTGTTGATACTGAGAATGAGTTGCACTTCAGTGGGCTTATGGACCTTATAGGGGCCCTGCTCTTTGTGCAGTCAAGCAAATCATCTTTATTATGAAATAAGATGTGTAAAARTTTAGCTTATAAAATTTTTCAGGACGCAGCAAAAGTATCTTCTCAAGAATCACTGAACAGCTGRGCATAATGGTGCATGTCTGTAATCCCAGCAATTTAGGAGGCTGAGACAGGAGGATTTCGAGTTCAAAGCCAGCCTCAGCAACTTAGCAAGGCCCTAAGTAAGTGAGATCCTGACGCTAAACATAATGTTAAAAAGGAATGGGGATGTGGCTCAGTRGTTAAGTGCCCCTGGGTTCAATTTCCAGTATCCTTCCCCCCACCAAAAAAAAAAAAAAAATCACTGAACAAACATCTGGTAATAAATAGAGTAGAAAGATCATAAGTTTGGACAAAATTTTTAGACAGAAACTGACTAATTTGATCCACTTATGTGTTATGAGACTGGCTTCAGGAGCAAACTTTAGAATGCCAGGCTGTACCTTTTTCTTTATCGAAGCCCCATCCAGTTACCCAACAGTTGGTATAAATTGTATTTGCATCATTTTTGGAAGGTAGGCATACTGGTTTTTGGAATTCTGAAACAAATTTTAAAACCAGAGTTGAGTTAAATAAAGCTATAGATATCGACTTTAAAAATACATCCTTATATTTTCCTATATTTTCTTACCACGGAAAAATATGGAGAATGACCCTCCRGCTGTCTGCACAACTTCTCAGATCCATGATTTAAGAAAATTTCTCACCAATAGCATAATTTTCCCATGTCATTTTGACATTAAAATTTCCCAGAACAAATGAAAAAACTCACAGTGCAAATTTACCATCAAAAGCATTTAGCAGTTCTTRTGTCTTATTCAGTGTCTGCTTGACTAGTTAATAGTGGTGGCAAAAAGTGTCTACACTGTTTCAGGAAGTGTTTTACCACATTTCATTACTTAATTATTATAATAAACCATTGAGGAGATCATCGTCCTAATTTTATAGACGAGGAAATTTGAGGTACAAGGAGGCTCAGCAAGTTGCTGGAGGTCACATAGTTGTGAATGGACATTAACAATGAGCTGTGTTAGCAGGCATTCAGCTCCTGTGGAGCACAGTACCTCCAAAGCCAACGGTGATGGTCTGGTCTTCCCAGAGCTGCCTTCTGCATCATTCTGTTCTCTACCCAAGTGATTCCTGGAAATTAACATCTGGTTCCACTTATCCTCCTATATCCCTAATATTCCTAAGCCTTAGCAATGRTACTTCTGCTACTCTTCTGTTCCCAGATGGCAAAGACGATGTATCTGCAATTGCATCCCTCCATGAAAAAACGAATTAACATTTCTTGTCCCCTTAAGTGAAAAGATATATTAGATCAAGCCATAGGATCTTCCCTACCTTCACAACCACTCTCCTTCCCCACAACTCCACCAACCAGAGAATAGTCTCTCCAGATCTGTCCCCTCACTAGAAATGCTGCGAAACTTTAAACCAATACAATACAAGTCATGTAGTTTTCCCTTAAATATGCTGCATACCAGTATAATTCAAGGGCTCCTGAAGTTTTATTAAGGCAATGTCATGACCAGCTTCTGAGATTTTATATTTCTGGTGAATAATAATCTCTTTTATTCGTGAAAAATAAGTTTCTTTTGTAATGTTGGACAGTTTCACAAAGCCACTGTAAATGCGCCAAGCATCCGGTAAGGAAATCCTAGGAGAGAAAAACAAATTCTTTGTTGGAATGGGAGAGACTCACCTTTGATATTGCTCCTTTCCCTTCTTACTTTCTCTTTCAAAAAAAATAAATAAATGAACGAATAGAGGACAGGAAATCCTTTTTTTTTTTTCTGGGATTTATTTCCTGATCCCTCCTCTAGCAATTTGTCACCAACAGCAGCAGTAGTAGATCTCTTAAGGTTTAGTTTAGAATATTGAAAATGCATATTTATATTTTTACATCATGTTTACTGCAAGTAAAAGTAGAAGAATATTGTTGTCCCCATTCTGAGAAGCTGTGGGGAAATCAAGCTTAGTTCATTTCACCAAACCTGAAAGCAATTGTTTTCATTAGATTCAAAATATCAAAAAGTCAGATTGATTGAAAATAGGCCACATTAGGGGGACTTCTTATTTAAAATCTATATTTTTACAAAGTATGAACTTTTAAATCGACTGCTCAAAAGATGAATGCATTTCAAAGAAATCCAAATTTATAGTTCTATTTTGTGCAAAGATCTGAAAAATTTTACCATCATGAAGTGTGCGCAAGAAATGCTCACAMAAAATACTAAAAGAAACACTGGAACTGTCAGGTGCAATTTTTTTTTCAATTAAATCACAAAGTTCCCATGTTTATTGTCTCCTTAAAACTCACAACACTAAGTCTTCAAGAATGGAAATTTCTTCATCCCAAATTTCAGTGCATTCAACAAAAAGGAGAATACAGTTTCCTGTCTTGGAGCTTTTTCTTTTGAGCCAACCATCTACCCTTAGCAAGGCCAAGTGCTGCAGAGAGCTAATTGAAGCTCACCCTGTGCAGAAGCCTTGTGCTACCCAGCTGTTCGTTGACCGATTTGTTTTTATGGCAGTATGCTCAATCCTCATAAGCAGCAATCTGGACCCTGCCCTTTTAGCCAGGAGAAGGGGTGAATTTTCCTAAAATAAAAATACTTTTTTTATTTTTGAGAGTGATTTAGCATCTTTTAGGATCTTTTTTGCTCACCATAGGCTTTTTCCATTTTTATTTGTCTCATTGAATGCAGCTGGTACAGCTTATATTTTCTGAGTAATTTTGATGTTCCAGGTACAGTGCTAAACATTTAAGCGTATCACTTAATCCTTCCAATAACATTACAAATTAGCTCTTGTTATTATTCATATTCTAAATAAAATAAAACTCATAAAGATTTACAAATTGCTCATGGTCATGGTGATAATAAACGGCAGATCTCAGATCCTTTTCTAAGACAGTCTAGTTTTTAGAACTTTAAAACTCCGCCATATTGTATTGTTGGCTTGATAAAATAGAAATATTGTATTAAATTATATACATTGAAATATGTATTCATAAACTCTCAGAATTTTGCTCTACTTATTACTACTYGGTATCTTGGTGAATCAAAGAGTAGAAAGTGAAATTTCTATTGGCCTAAAAAAAAAAAAATCTTTGAAGAAAACATTTAGGGAGTGGTGGGTGGAGAGGCAGCAATTGGAATATTTTTTAAGCTTCTCTTTAGGTAGGAGTGATTATTCACCCAGGGGCATAAATCCTGAAAATAAGTCACCCTCTGTTCTGATGGATCAGCCTGGTCAGGACCCTATAAAATTGCTAAATATTTTCAATGTCATTTCTGCTTTAAAATGTCTTTGACATCCCTAATCATGAGGAAGACACAAATTAAATTGACAATGAGATATTATCTCACTCTAATAAGGATGGTTACTATTGAAAAGATAAAAGATAAAGTRCTGGCAAAGACATGTCAAAAAGGGAAACCTTGCACGCTATTGGTGAGAGTGTAAGTTAATACAGTCACTATGGAAGACAGGATGAAGGTTCCCCCCACCAAATTAAAAATAGAACCATTTTATGATCCACCAATCCCACTACTGGGCATTCATCCAAAGGAAATGAAATTGATATTAATATTAATAAGAACGCCCATGTTCACTGAAGCACTCTTCACAGTAGCCAAGACATGAAAGCAATGGAGGTGTCCACCRGTGGATGAATGTGGTACATACACACACAACAGAATCCTATTCAGCCATAAAAAGGGATGGTGTCCTGTCAACTGTGACAACATGTTGGAACCTGGAGATTATCGTATTAAGTAAGGTAGGCACAGAAAGGCAGATATGCATGATCTCACTCCCATGCGGAACTTTTATATGTCGATTTCATGGAGGTCGAGAATGATGGTGATTACCAAGGGCTTGGAAGAGTAGACCTGTTCAGCAGGAACTAAGTGACATACAGGAGGATGATATTCTTGAATACTGTGGCACAAGAGGGCCACTCTCAAATGATAATGTACTGTATATTTCAAAAGATTAGAAGAAAGGTTTTCAAACATTTTCTTTTAAACAATAAATAAATGAGGAGATCAAAAGGTTTATCTGATTTAAAAATCACACAATGCATACATTCATTGAAACATAACGTGGTACATCATAAATAGATATAATTTCATATTTATCAGTTAAAAGGTTTAAATAAAAWTTTTTTAAAAAAATAGAAAACAGAATAAATCTCCATTAATAAAGTCACATGATGACAGAAAAAAATAACTGCGCATTTTTCAAAATGAACAGGCAAGATGAGACCTATGCAAGACTTACCCATCAAAGCAATGGGCAGCAGTCAGGATCCATTGGCTTCCAATGATTGACCCTCCACACAGGTGGCTCAGGCTCGTCAGCTTCACCTGTAGGCTGACCTGCCAGGGCCACTCTCCCAAAGAAGAATTCGTTCCTCCCACAATGCGTGGGTTTGTTTTTGTGCAGACTGAAAAGTTTTGAAGCTAATGGTTAGAATTAGACACGAGTGAGTCCCCATCTTCCAAGGGAAATGCGATGTGTAATTCTGTTACAGAAGAAAAATCAAGCTATCAAAATAACAGGGGCCTCCCTTTACAGTTCTATGACAAAGCGACCTGTACTCACGAGAGCTGTCTCCTGTTTCACACAATCTCAAAGAATAACCAGAGCTCCCTTGGATCCCATGTGTAATCCTGGTTGGGGAACCATCGGAAGATAATCGCATAGAACATTTACACCTGCATCAAATGAACAGTGTAAAATTAAAGCTTCACAGAAAAGGATGAATTTATCCTGCCAATCAGGAAATAAATGTTCCCTTACTTCTCTTCCTCACAGTCTTCTGGGAGTGAAGAGTAAGTAAAAAACTGGCAGCGAACTGTCTCTGTACACATCTTTTGGCAAGCAATTGCTCCTTGCACAAAGGTCATGTTCAGTTCTTCCCCTCTAAAGTCAACTCCAGAGTAAATTTTTCTGTGGCATGGTTCTAGGCCAAGAATAAACATAAAGAGGTAAAAAGGAAAAAAAAAATCACAAAAGCAACAAATCACAGGCACAAGTTTCTGGTGCCTCAAGGACTGTTTCATCATTGTTACATTTTAGAAAGTCAYATGATTTGTCACATGTACTATGATCAGTGAATCCCATTACCAGGCAGAGTTCTTTTGCAGGACAAAAGGCTATGTCCAGATATAGTGTTTTCCTGAGGAATAGTGCAAGTTGGTTCCCCACTTACAGAAGTTTTTAGGGAACAAACATTTCTATTTAAAGAAAAATGGGAGAGAGAAAGAAAGATGCATTAATCCATTAAGTCTCCAAATTCTCGATTCTGGAATATTCCAATGAAATTAACTCAGGTGCATTAAAATAGGTTGAAAATCATAATCCAGATATGTATTATTATAGTAATTAATATTATCATAATATCATTAAATAATCACTATATTGTTACATGTTGCACACTTTATTCAAGCTTATATAGGACTTCCACATCTGGAGCCATGGCCCGAAATGGGTTAAAAGCATCAGACAAGTGCAAAAGCAGCTCACATCAGAAAAACAGCTCTGCACATTTTATTCACTTGAGAAATTCTCTTCAAAGTAAGTCAGACCACGGGACTCTACTAAATTATAGAGATTAAATGTAAATCAAACCACCTTTCCCTGTGGTGAAAATTAATAGGCACAGATACCCTAAAAAGAGCATAATTAAGTTCCACTTTCTACTTGGAAAAATAAAACCCCCCATACATCACAGAATTAATTACCCTTCTATTACCCTCATGTGCGTAAAGAAAAAACCGGGTTATGTAAGGGTATAGAGGTCAGTCCAGAACCTTRATCAGGATAAACAGGGCTCTAATTTCTAGGATGGAAAAGAAAGACAGGCCACAGGCTTCAAAGATACACAGCCAGCAAGGAGCTTGGACCTCCAGCTCATACAAAACACCAAGACCCATCAGAAAGGCTCTGCTCATTTCTTTCCCACGCCAGACGTTTCGTTTTCAATGGTGCATTTGAGAAGGTCCATGGAAAATTCCACTAATCTCTCAATTCATCTGCCCCTGATAGAAAAGCACCTGCTTAAACTGTAGGCTCTAGTGCTTTGCAGGATATGAACAAAACTTTTTCAAAACTCAAAAAGTGACGTTAAGAACAGTGGGCCCGCTTCCCTTTGTACTCGCCTCTGTGATTCTACATGCCATTTATTGGTGTGGAACGTGAAGAAGAAGCAGTTGGCATGGTAGGTGCAGATGGTCCGACACACTAGAGCATCTGGAGTGACAACTCTGGCAATATCCACATCCGTGAATGCAAGTTGCTGGAAAAGGTTCATTTGGCAACCTGAGAACTCGCAGAGGAAAGACACTCCTCAGTCAACCACAAAGGCTGGTCCTTTGTCATCACAACTAAGGACATTATGCAGATTTGTTGTTTGTTGTTGCACTAGACATCCTCAATGGAAAACTGCCTCTCTTTTTTAAAAATTTTGTTTAGTTATGAATGGACACAATACCTTTATTTTAGTTGTTTATTTTCATGTGGTGCCGGGCATTGAGCCCATGCTAGGCACATGCTAGGCAAGTGCTCTACCACTGAGCCACAATCCCAGCCCCAAAAAAACTCTCTTAAAATATCCCCCAATTTAGCCAATCGCTGTGGTGTGCATCTGTAATCCCAGCAGCTTGGAAGGCTGAGGCAGGAGGGTTGTAAGTTCAAAGCCAGCCTTAGCAACTTCAAGGCACTAAGCAACTCAGTGAGGCTCTGTCTCTAAATAAAATACAAAAAGAGCTAGGGTTGTAGTTCAGTAGTTAAGTGACCCTTAATTCAATCCTCAATACCCTCCCCCCCAAAAAAATTCCCCAAATTTATTGTTTGGTACTTGGAAGAAGGTAAAAAATGTTCTAACTCTGATAAGAAATAATTTTCTATGTCATAGAAATAAAATAACTTATGCTCCTAGTCTCCCAGCTCCATCTTCCATCAGTACAAAATGGTTAAATTACTCAGAATGTATTTTCTTTATATTACCCTGATCCTGAGTCAGGCCTTAAGAACAAGAAGTTTAGTAAGTTCTTGAATATGATGAAAAATATTTTTAATAAGAAGATATTAATAAAATTCTAAGCAGCTATCCAAAATACCAACTACCCTTTGAAATTAGAACAGGAAAAATTCACTTTCATTTTCCTTACATTTTATTTTTCAATTCTATTTTTCTTCTGTTTRTATTATTTAATTGATTTGATGACATAATTTTATCAAAATTATGGAAGCTTTAAGAATAATAATAGAAACTATGTGAAAGAAAAACAGTTACAATTTAAATGAACATATTTGGATTGAGACAGCACCTCCCTTAGTTCTTTCATGTGTTCCATCTCGAAAATTAGAACTCAACTGATTAAATTAAAGAAAACAAACAAACAAATATGCACAGACCCTTGAGCTGAAATAAATGGGTCATTGATACCAGACTACAATGGCATCCTCACAAGAACAGCACAACAGGTTGTTCTACACCTTTATGTAGGCATTCATAGTGAGAAGGATCTCACTATTTCATGATAAGAATCACTTATTTTCTGGACCACTGCAGATGTTAGGGTTATTCTTATTTTCTTAATTATGAGTCTATGAGACTAAGTAAACTAATTCTTTATTAGTGACAATCTTTACAAAAGAAGGCCAAAAAAAAAACCCAGCAACCCCAAATTAAGATAGTCTTCTAAACCCATTTTTGAGATTAATACCTTTAACTTTTTATTTTAATCATTCAAAACTTTTCTGCTCCTTCTGGTTATTTTACCATCCCAGTTGCCCTCTTGATGTGTTCCAACCCTATTGCTGCACTCCAAGGGTGAATTACAGAATTGAACATGATCAGGGTCCACTTCATGCTCTGAATATCACCCTTGATGCTCTGCCTCGGTCACTTGGTTTAAAACTGATCTATTGGGTTTTTACCCCCCTTCCTCTTCTCTCTCCCTTCCTTTCTAACCATGAAGAAGCAGGATKAACCTTCTTCCTATCCTAAGCCAAGATTTCTGTCCTTTGGGTCATGGACCATAGGAATAAAGGAATCCAGACTTTGGGGTTGCCACCAGCAGGACAGAAATGGCTATCTCTTGAGGATACCAATAAACTATGACTCCCACCAGGGCACAACTGAGTGCAGCCTTTGTATCCCCTCTTGAAAAGCCCACTGTTCCCTCCAAGGGTTAGAATCTCAGCCTCTGGGAAAGGAGTCCCCTTTTCATTCTTTTGCTGTCAAAGCAATAAAACTTTTTCCTCCTCCTCCTCCTCCTCCTCCTCCTCCTCCTCCTCCTCCTCCTCCTCCTCCTCCTCCTCCTCCTCCTTCTTCTTCTTCTTCTTCTTCTTCTTCAAACCTTGCCATCATTAGACTGGCATCAGAGTCAAGGTTGGACCTTTCAGTACCAAGTGTGGAACCCCAGGGGGACCTGAGAGTGCCTCCAGATCTGGCCTTCTTAGGCAGGTCTGGCACTTCAAATGCCTCTTCTTCCATGCTGAGCATGCAAGATGGCTACTGAGTTTGGGGGTAGCCAACTCCTGGAGAATTAGGAGATGGGGCGAGTTTGTCTCAGGGTGAACTACTATCCCTGTGAGTAAAGGAGGAAACATCCAAGCACCTGCCAAGGATCTTTTTGCATCAGGGAATTCCCTCCTTCTCCCCCTGAACTCTCTGAGCTGCTCCATTAATTGAGCTACTTTGAAGAAAAGGAAACTGAACTCAGTAAAGCCGTATCACAYGGACCATCTGGAGTGCAAGCTAAGACTCTTGATTCTATACATCTTTTCCCCCCTTCGTGGGGACATCTGTGGAGCCATGGTGTAGTAGTCATTGTTAGATTGGAGTAGAAAATCAAGGGAATTATTTTTCCCCATCTGRTCTGTTTTAGTTTCCCATTCATCTGCCTTGGTTTGGGGGATTCCCTCTGGTTGTCCATCTCTGTGTTTTTGGAAGACATGGGCAATGCTGTGTTGATCCCACTGGGTAGCCTCTGGGGAGGGATCGTGGCTCAATGGGGTCACATACAGGTACAAACCTATGAATAAGGAAAAGCTGATGTTTAACTGTAGCACAATCAGGCCGTTGAATGATACTGTGACCTTCTATTTGGAGTTGGTGTGTTAGAGGTCAAATAAACGGAAGAGATGTATGTGCAGACATTTATGTAGTTGCATGATACGGAGTCTCAAGGCCAGCAACTAAGTCAATGGGACAAAGAAAGGCACTGCCTCTGGTGTACAAGGATAGCAAGACACCCGAAGAAAAAGTTGCAGAAGATTTAAACCCTTTCAACCCAATGCCTGCTGGCTCAACGTTGCCTCTCAGTCTGGCCCCAGTTCCAGGCATGTGGGTTGAGGATGCCAGCCCTCTACTGGGGAAAAAAAAAAAAGTCCCAGGAAGCTGCCAGGGACATGGAGAAATGTGTGCATGGGGCAAGTGAACCTCTGAGGACTCCCAGTCTCCTTGGCCTGCAGTGGGTAGAGGATCACCAGCCAAAGAGGACTTTGTGGTGGCTATAAACACCACTAGATTATGCCCTGGGGACAGGAATATTTTCCCCTTTTAAGATCCAGCAGGACGCCTTATTTATCCAGGAGACACCATAACTGGGGCAGAGCAATTCTTGCTATGGCAGTAACCCGCTGATGTAAATGCAGAGCGGGCCTAGCAGGGCGAACTACTGTGCAGGTTGGGAAGGAGGAGAAGAACTCAGCTGCTGCTTGAAAACCTTCAACTAGAGGAGACAAAAAAAAGACCCCACCAAAAAAACAAACAAACAAACACCCTGAAGCCTCTTGTATCAGCTCAGGGTCCTCAAAAACAAAAATAAACAAACAAAAATCCCATAAAGGCCTTGTATAGCTGTACTGCTAGACTGTGACACAACTGTGCCACCAACAGCAGGGGCTACATCCTGTAGTGATAGGAGAAGCTGCATAAGCAGAGAGCTTCGGTAGGTGGAGGCCACTGACATAAACCCCTCACAGCTACTTGATACAGCCTAATGTACATAATGACCAGGAGGTGCAAAGGGATCCTCAAGGAAGCCTAAAGAAAAGCATGGAAAGGTCCACCCTCCGTTGAAAATTAGCATGCCCAATGTTGGAAGAAGGAGCCYACTGTCACGGGAAACTCGCTCAAAGTTGATGATGTTGCAATAATAAGAGCGACAAGTCGAGTGCAATGGCATCCATTGCACAAACCTCTTGAATGCAAACTGGGAGAACAAAGATCAGCTTTTTGGATGCCAGAGGAGCCCTCTCCTGGGGTGAGGTTTGTTGTGTAAGTTAAGAACTGAAATAAGGTTCTCACCCAAAAAGTAAGTGCCACCAGAAAGTTCCTGCTTTCACTTGCCAGCCAAGATAAGGAAATGGAGCCTACTCTGCTGGAGGTCTGCTAAGAAAGTGAGTAAGGCCATATGGGGCTGAAGGGACCCTAGGAAGGGTGACCAGTGCTATCCCAACCAAGATTTACCTAAGGAGGAGGTATAACTTACTCCTTAAGAAAGAATATCTCCCTTAAGTGAAAGGCATCAATGAGGATTCAGCCTTTTCTGGACAAATTTTTAAAACACGGATTGAGTCAGCTTTGTCAGATCCCTTATAATACTCCAATTGTTCCTGTTGAAAAACCTCATGCTGTGCTGATTTGTGCAAGACCTAGAGCTATAAATAAATAATATCATTCAGTATTTTCAGCCCATAGCACCAAATCCATACACTCAGCCGACTGTGGTGCCAGGAGACTGACTGGTTCACAGGATAGATTTACAAGATGCTTTTCTTCTGCATCCCACTGGATGTAGATAAAAAGGTCCCAATACTTTTGCGTTGAGTGWCAGGACTCTAATACTTCAGTAACCACCAGGTATTACTGGACTGTCTCACCCTACGGATTAAAAAAACTCTCACACTGTTTAACGAGAATCTGGCTGAAGATCTTCAAGGGTTATGGCTAGATCAAGGAATCCTTTTGCAATATGTGGATGACCTGCTTAGAGCTGGCCCCAACTATAAACGCTGTTCTTTTAAACACTAGTGTTGTAATAAAACACGGCACCTCCTGAGTACATAAGTTGCCCACAAAAAAAAAAAAAGTCTCAGGTTTATAAACAACAAGTCACCTAACCAAGATTCCAACTTGGCCAAAGAAACCACAGTTTGATATCAGATCAGAAGCAGACTGTCTCTGAGAAATTGGGAACCAGAGACAGTTACATGGGTTCTGACATATTTGGATCCCTAATTTTCGACTGATTGCCAAACCCCTATAGGAGATGTAACAGAAATAGAAACTTTGATTTRGACACCAG